GAGGAGTTCAGGGGTCAAATGCAGCACCAACGCTGCTGTTTCTCTGACGCTGCTTATTTTCAGGAGGATCTATTATTAGCCATCAAGGTTTGCCAAAGAGTTTGAATGACAGCCGTTCATGTGCACAGACAAGCACAGAGAGAACATCACTGACACTGCAGCAGTGATACCTGCTTCAGACACAGCCTTGATATTTCCAGCTCACCTGCAGCCAACTACCACCTGCTACTGCAGGGAACTGCACTGCATCACTTTTTCTCCCCACGCTGTGCTGCCGTCCAAGCTAGAATAGTCCCGATTTCATCAGATATTCATTAGTCTATACGACCCAGAGATGCTCTCTACCACAGGGAAATTAAGCCATCTTACTATCTATCACTAATAAAAAGATATATCACTGTAAATATATTGTTAACACTTAGATCTGTGTTGCTGTAATATCTCACATTTCTTCCCCAGTTTTCTGAATCAAAGCACAGCACAGAGAAGCTTAGATACTTCATGTTCACACAGTGAAGCCTGACAGTATCCTCACTGCCGACACACATCATGCCCTAATCATCTCTGCCGCTGGCTGGTTGCTATAGCGACATGAAGACCAACAGGACCTTCAGACGAGCGAGGCTTTGCATGAGAAACACTGGAGAGAAGGTGGGAACTGCAGCAGCCGTCGTCCTTCGAAAGCTGCTGTCTGTGACAACATCACCGACACCGTGTCTGTTCTCTGCTCGTGTCTTCATGACATCATCAGGAGCCCAACACGAAAACTGTGAGCTGCTCGTGCTAAGGCCATACCCCTTCAGTTACCATGGAGACAAGCATAGTGACACGGTAACCATAGTGACAAGGCTGTTTCAGATGAAGCCAAAAACACTTCCTTTTGAACGATTTCTAAATGTTTAACTTTACACGACGCTCGCTAACTCATCCTGTTCACAAACTTGATCTGTGGTCATTTCTTCAAACTGTGGCTGTTCGTTTTCCAAGCCCTGCTGATTCACTTTGGACCCTAAAA